TGTACCCGAGGCTGAGCTTGCAGCCGATCGCGCCGGAGAGGAGGTTGAACCCGAGGCCGATGGTACTGGCACGCAAATGATCGAGGCCGACGGGGTTGGCGCGTGTTTCGTGGGGGTTGGCTGTGCTGCTGACTGCACGACTGGCTGTGACGTGCTCTCGCCCTCTGCCAACGTTGTTTGCACCGAGCCTCGCGCCTCTTGCTGTAAAGGCGCCTCATCATCAGCATCAGAGACCATGGGGGAAGCTGGCACCGACATGGATGCTGTATCTGCCTCATCAATCCAAGCAGCACTCGTCTGTATCCGTGGCACGGCAGCATCCGTCATAGGCCCTGCATTTGTCGCCATCACAGCCGTGTCTTGGGCACGTGGAGTGCTTCTGCTCGACTGCGCTGCAACGGCACCTGTTCCTGGGGACGCGACTGTGTCAACGCTCGATGCTGAAGTTACATCCAAAGCGGACTCTGGCCCGATCGATTCTTCTTCCTTGAGCCGTGCTGCAGGTGGCTCAGACAACACATCTTCCTCCTCCGCCATCGCCTCGGGCTCTGCTTCCACATGCCCCACACTCAACGCTTGGGCAGCGCGCTGCTGGCGCGCAGCTATTGCTGGCTCCAGGCGCTGTGCTGTTCCTGCGCACACGTCACAAAGCGGCTGGCCGGCAGCAAAGCATGTCGCGGCGCGGGGATCTAGCAACTTGCCGAGCGCCCAGCTGCGGCACGCACTGCCTTCGACAAAATTTTCCATGCCTGGTGCTGGCCCACGTCTCACTGGTAGCCACAGCTCGGCAGTTCCTCCCTGTTTATCGCGACCAGCCCGACCAAATGCCTAGCCCAAGCACATGTACACCATCAGCAAAACCAACAATTGATTTTTTTTTTTCAACTCCAAATCCATAAAGTCACACGACCGCTTGAGCAACAGCGTACCTGGGCCAGCGTATAGACGTTGTAGCCGTTGCCATACCACAGCACGTGGCGAATGGTGAGCAGATCCACACCCGTGCTGAGGCAGCTGGTGGCCACAATGACGTCGCATTCACCCCGTT